TTTAAATTCCATGATGACATAAATGCAAAACAAACCAAAAAAAAAAAATATTCTAAAACTAATATACAGAAAAGTAAAGTAAAAACATACCTAGAGGACGTCAAAAATGGTAAATATGACCTAAGGAGAATTTGTTCCACCATAGGCACTAGTTGCCCATGTGCTATTTTCAAACGCTGTCCATTCACTTTGAACACCCACCATCATTAAGATCCTCAATTTCAAAGGTCCCATTATCGAAAATTTGTTTCACCACAAAAGGGTCCGCCCACCTAGATTGAAGCTTTCCTGGGCGCTTGCGAAGTCTAGAATCATACAAGTACACTTTTTGATTTTGTTCAAATGTCTTTCTAAGAATGTTTTTATCATGAAAAGCTTTCATTTTCGCCTTGTAGATTCTAGAACTCTCATAAGCATCATTCATCAATTCTTCCAACTCAGTCAATTGAAATTTTATAAGCGTACTGCCCTCTTCTAGATCAACATTAAAATGTTTAATAGCCCAATATGCTCGGTGGTCATGCTCTTCAGTTCACACTTAAAACAAATCACAATCGTCCAAATCATCCATGAAATCATGACCATCAAATATCAAGTGGTGCCTAATGAAGAATTTTAAAGGGACGAACACAATTAACGTGTATTAAAAACGTACAGGTCACTAACCTAGAAATACGCAAAGAGGCTCACTAGCGAACGCAAATAATTGTGACAATCATAGCATGTCTCTTCAAAACAGCCTACATCATCCATAACAAAGAGAGATGAATAAAAATAAGTTCGCATAATCCCAAAAGCTGAAAAAGTCCTAGATTTAATATGAATAGTAAACCTGGACTTCTGGGACTGATTGTTGAACTACAAAATGCCATCCGCGAACCTATCCCACTGGTTGTGAAGCATAAAAGTAACACATAAGGAAAATAAGAGCATAGGAGGTTCGTCCAAAGTAGGGGAATCTTTCTCCCATCAATAAAATAACATAAGGATCAATGAATTTTAACGTGATACTCTTAACATAATCGGGGTACAATATAACTAATAAATGGCCGCCACCATCACACTTCCTAAATGACAATAATCCAAAGCTTGAAAGGAAATCTATAAATACCTCCACTTTTGAAGAGAAATACATACAATTCAAATATTTCATTCTCAAATGACTAGTTCTCTTCTTATTCTAAGTTTGAGTCTCAAAACCAAAGAACTTAGGAGGTGAAAATCATAGTTAGATGAGATGATTTGTTAATCTAATTTTTACCATCAACAATGTCTTTCAAATCCTATTATTTATTCAAAAAGTAGTAAAATTTATATGGCCCAAACTATATTAGCTCACTTTTATGGCAATTATCAGTCGAGATTCCCGCAATTTGGAATTGGGCTAGGCCGAACTGCCTCATAAATCGTTCCCGCAAGCCGAAGTTCGCCTGTATTTTGACGGTCTGATTATGATTGATCAATCCATTTTGTCATCGGAGTAATAAAAGATATCTTTCTTTCCACCTATGACTTGCTTCTTGGAAAAAAAAAAAGGAATTTTTATAGAATGGGATTGAAACGGGCGTAATTCAAGACTTTCACTACTCTAGCATGCCCACCATCATAATCCTTTTAACTATCAGAAAAAGAAAAATATCCCAAAAATCACTCACCACATAAATAGAAGAATAATCTGTCACCATGCAAGTTGTCACCATGCAAGTTGAAGCAATTTTTTTAACATATACTGTAATGTCGTCTAGCTCCCAGCCATGCTCACGATTGAAAATCTTAATAGCTCAGATCGGGAGAGATTGGAAGCGAGAACGATTAATGAATTATAATTATTCAACTATGGTGGTATATAATTCACACAACATACAACAACTGCATTCCTCTTCTCAATCTTGTCCATCACATGCATCACAACAGGCAGCACAACCTAAACATGCCAAGGCACCGCACAACTGCGTTAGTGCGATTGCACACTGGTCGTTTATCAGTGAACAACATTGAATACAGCACATGCAACAGCAGTGCCCGAAAAGCTTTCCACAACAATTTGAAGCTGCCTTCACGAAAATCTCTCCTGCATCAGGGGGGCCTTTTTCTTCGCATCCCGGACGAGTGTTCTCAGCAGTAGCATTTAAATTGCCAAAACCAATTCCGAGCTTATGCACCCTGATTATCTTTTGAGATTTAGAATCTTCTGTCTTGTGAGTATCTGCTTTGCTCGAAAACTACAATCATGCAGCTTTAATTAAAAAACAGGGCACCTACATTGTCTTTCAACAAAGCAAATGGTACAAGTGCAGAATTCGAATCTTACGGCAACACACCAGCCATCTTTCTCCAGTAATTATTTCTGTGTACGTTGTTTGTGTGTGCCATTTTTTTTTAGCACTTTGGCCTCGGAAAAGTCCAAGGTTTCATATGTCAGTCCATTATTCATTATATCCTTCTATTGTCTCCTACAGTTGCTTTGACTTTCCAAGGGAACTCTCTCTATTTAGCAGCAAAGATTTAGAAAAAAAGATCTACATATCCATATAACCATATAGTTCATCATGCATACAGAGGGATTAGGATATCAAAGATTATTTGAAGAGATTCTTCCCTTAATAAATGAGAATTTGCATTTTTCTAATGAAAATAACATATACCTGTTGGGCACTGGTTGATTCACTGCCTTTTCTCTCTCTCTCAGTCTCAAGCAAGATCATGTGGGTATATTCAGAAACAACTGAATTTTGCACACTCATTTTTGCAATCTGTCAACAGCGGAACAAAGCTAATCAATTGGCTTTGTTCACTTTGGTTAAAAATGTCTTCATATAAATGAAATAAATCAGGATAGGAAATTTTTCCAGCAAACAGAATTCTAAGACGGGAAAAATGAAACAGTCAAGACAACAAAATTTCTGCATTCTAAACTAGCAGTTTTTACATGACAATCCATTTATAAAAAAACAT